ATTCACCATGCTGAAGTTGGTACTGCCTGTGTTGGGCCCAGGAAATGAATTCTCTGTGACAAAGGCACGGTTTAAACAACTGCAAAATTTATAATTGAGTTATTGGAAAAGCGATGAAATTCAAAGCAGATTTCATTGCAGTGATGTAAAATGAAAAATAAATCCATGCAATATTTGTAGTGAATATTGAAAATGTCTGTAGCAATGAGTTTTGTGTGGGTAAGTTAAACTAGTACAGCTGTCATCTGTCTCCTGTCAGTCTACAGAACAAAAATTTGCATCAAGACAAAAGATAGTGTAGGAGGTGGGGGTTTGCTTGGCCTATTTTGCCATTTATTCCAGACACTGGAGTTGTTGTCCCAGACAAATTACTTTTCCTGTCTGTTTGACTTCTGGTTCTTTTAACATCTTAGGAATAATTTAAAAAAATCAGGAAAAGGAAAATTAAATTGATTTTTTCAATATGGGAAAGTGTCTGCTTCTGTGCACAGAAATTTGTTTTCAATACTTCAAGTCCTGTCCATTATCAGTAACTTGTACAATTCCAAAAAACCTATTCGGAGCAGTCTGTTTATACCAAGCATGAATAATATGGTCCAGGTGTTGAACCAAGGGAATCTGCGGTTTCTGATATCAGAGGAGAGATTCTCTTTTGATTTTCAGAGATGAAAGCTTTTTGTATAACTTGGGATGGGAGAAAGCACTATGTTTTCTAGTCAAATATTGTACAAGTAAGCTTTGAAGGGATCAGTTCTGAGGCAAGCTCAGCAATTTCTGGTTCAAGATATAATGGATATAATGGATATATTCTTTGCAAAGAAATCATGTCTGTTGTGAAATGACTTATCAAAATATTAAGTTGTCAGAGTACCAGCCTGGCATTGAAATTTTTCAGATGATGATGAAATTGTTCTGAGAGAATTACATTCCAGACTTTCTAAAAAAAGCTTCAAGCTTTATAACATCACAGTTTACTTTCTCTGTTAAATTGGGTCAGAAAACTGACCTTTTTTTGTCAAGCAGGTAATAATTTCATGATTAAAAACTTGAATTAATCAAACAGAAGGATAATCATGCTTTTGACTGTTACTAGAGGGCCATCTATGCTATATTTTAAAAATGAGATTTTTTTCAGTTGTAATGAAACAAATAATATTCCACTTGCAGAAATTGAAAAACTAGAATTCTTGAAATTCTGAAATAGTCTAGTAGAGGATATTAGTGATAATTTATTAACCTCTTTTGTACGTATTTGGAATCCAAGGCATTAAGGCTACTTAAAGTTTCCATTTCTACTTTAACAACAGGCTGTTGTTAGGGTTGGAAGAAATCAGCAGCATCTGTGTTGGGGCCTGTGGGCTGAACAGAGGATGGTTCTCTCTGCATGAGCTGCTCAGTGTCAGAACAACATCCCTCCCATCCTTGCCATAATCTCTGTGTAACTCAGTCTCCTTTCTTTGCCACTTTCCAGAGAAGTCTCTGGGCTTCCCTGGTTTGTGCCAGTTGTAGGGCAGTAATTTATGGAGGAGTAGGAGTCCAAGTACCCTCTGAGGGACAGGGTAAGACTCTCCACCTGCCTCTGGTAGCAGCTGACTGAGCAGCCCTTTGTGAGTAGTGTAGCTCAGTCCTTTGTGAATAGTTTAGTTCCAGCACAACCAGAATTCACTGATAATCCCAATGTCAGCATCAACTCTTTTAAACTGGTTTCAGTATCTTCAGCTGTGACTTCCTGCTGCAAGTAGTGGCTTGATGTATTGGGTTGCAGTTTGCAGATTATACCAGATGCTTGATTTTGTGTCATGGTGGTAATTAAGTAGTTTCTATGTACCTCTTCATTACATGATTTTGCAGATTACGGCTCTGCAGACATTGATGCAATGTTGGGAACAGGCCAGCTCACACATTAGCTCCAAAGAGCAATGTGCAGTCATTATTCAATTAATATTTGATCTTTCAAATCAAATATTGAAGGTTGAGGGATTCAAACTGCCACCTAGTACTTCTAGCCTTACAAATGTGTTTTCATTTTCATCTTAAAACCAGTACTAAATATTACCCATCTAACTGAAAAACATTTGTTTACCATTTTATTAAAATGAATAGAAATCTGTAGGTAATGTAACTCTTAATGTGATATGTGTATGTCTGTGTCAGTATATTAATACCAAATGTTATGAGTGATATTTACTTAAATGCTTGTGGAAGAAGACATAACATCCCTTTTCCTCTGGAATTGCTCTTCCTAGGGAATCCAGTTTCTGATAGAAAATGACCTCCTGCACAACACTGCAGAAGACATTGCACAGTTCCTTTATAAAGGAGAAGGATTAAATAAAACGGTAATTGGAGATTACCTCGGTGAAAGGTAAAGTAAAAATATTGAAACTTTGCTCTTGAGTTTACAAAGCCCTTTCACAGGTTTTGGGTAGTTTCTCTTCACAGGCTGCAGGAGAGAGCTGCTCAAGTTCTCGGAGATCCATAAAAGCTACAGTGGGGATGTAAAACTGCTACAGTACTGTGTTAGCTTGTTATTTCTAAATGGGTACATCATGCAATGATAATTAACTATAATTTAGTATTTTGAGTAAACCAAAACATTTGTCTGTAGTGCAGAATTCAATACCATGAGCTTTTGGAATGTCTGGGAGTTGTGTTGCAACACTCCTGGTAACTCTTAGTACTGTGTCCAGAGGAGGAGTGATTTACAGTCAGTAATAATAGGACTGTAAAGAAATTACTTATTCAAACAGGTATTTCCTGGGACAGTTGCTCCAGCAGGTTTTGGTGTTGTCACTTCCCTGCACACACACGTCCCATTGCTCAGCAGGTGTCTCCAAGGGCAGCTGCACCCTGTCCTTATCAGCCCTGCTACAATCAACATGCAGTGTGAATATTTATGCACACAGTTGCAAAACCCAGTCAGAATGCAAATGCCTTCCATTGCTGTGCAACCCAGGAATTGATTTTAAAAGGCAGCTGAGGGAGGCAGGAGTGCAGCGGGTTGGAGTGTGTGCGTGGACGTGCTGGCACACGGTCAGTGCCACCTCGGGAGCTCTCAGAGGTGACTCATTGAGGATGTGCTCCTGTGCTGCTGGCTTGTGCAGGTCCCTTCTGAGACACTCCTCAGGCTGGTTCCAGCAGCAGCTGCGTGGTTTTTGCTCAGCAGTTTCCTCTTGGCTTTCATAGGTTCAGTCAAAGTTTTCGCTGTAATCTGAGCATTTTGAAAATAGATCTTTGTTATGAAGTCTCTATGCAGAATATGTAGACACGTCAACATTTTTTTTACAACAGAATTATGTCTGAGGAGATTCTCTCCTGCTTTGCCATCCCCTCTCAGAGGCCCATCGTAAATTACTTCTATATTCTCGCTAAATATAGCTGAGGACAAGACCAGGTTAGTCAACAGACTGAAATATTTATATAACGTTCTGCCATAAAGAGATAGAATCTATATTACTGACTTTTATAGTCTTAAAGCACTCAGCAAGCTGAAAAAAATGAATGGTAATGGAATAAGGTAACACTTAAAAATATAGCAAAAATTATAATAAATAAGGGATGAATTGCATCCTAAAAAAAGACTTGTGGTTTCTTTCTATGTGGGTAAATCTTCACTTCTTTTTTTAAAATGTATTCCTGGAGCACTTTATTATTTGTCTTGTGTCTTTGGAGGTGTACCCAGCACAAGTGCTGCATGCCTATAAACAAAATAAATAATTTGCTTTAAGTAAAAACAAACCCCTCTGGAGTGCTCTCTTTTATTACACTCTCATGCCACTTCTTTGAAAAGCAGGTGCCCAGTTGAATTGTGCATTGCTAAATTTGATGAGAATTGCTTGGATTTGCTGAGAGAACTGGTGTGTTTTTCTGTAAACAATGTAGGAACATGCCAATGAATGAACAGTTGGTTTTAGGGTATTTACTCCTGAGTTGCAGGTTAGTCTGACTGTGCAGTTAGTCAGCAGAGCAGCAGATCATTCCTGGTGGGTGCACACCTTTCTATTTTCGGGTGAGGCTGATACGCAACATTCTGTCTTGGTGAGGTATTTAAAGCACACCCTGAGGATTATAAACCTTTATTCTTCTGGCACAGGAACTCGCTGATGGTGTGGGCCAAGCTCTGTCCATTCACACAGTTTTGTGTTCATGACATCTTTAAATGTTAGTTTTGAATTTAAACACCCTTGTACCAAACAAAGCATGATTTGGCTCACGATTTGCATACCAATATAAGAGATGGTGAGAGATGGTTTTGCCCTTTCAGAACCTCTTCTGATTTTAGTTAACTTTGTTCTACCAGTTCTTTGGAATGGAGTAAGAGTACAGTACATGCTAAGCAGCTCTTTTCAAAAGCTGTTCTTTTTCTTGGATGCAATCAATAGAAGCATTTTTGTTTCTTATCTTTGTATATAAGTTAAGATACTGCTTCAATATTTTCTGTTCTTAGAGTGGAAAAAAGATAGTTAATTGTATGTTGTATGGCTAGAGAAATTAGTCTTACATTAGCCATTGTTTTAAGAATTCATGACAATTTCTGCAAAAGGCTTTTTACTGATTGAATTTCTCAGGTATCCTCCTAGGTCAAGGAGATAGAGTAATAATAAATGTGAAGTACAGTAATAATAAATGTGAAGCAAAGAAGGCAAGGCTATTTTTAGGTCATTTAAATAAGCAGTTCTAAAATAAGTTCAAATGTACTGGCTTTTGCTAACCTACCAGCAAAAATGGGCAAAGTACTAGTGTTAAACATGAAAATACCTTTCAAATAAATGTGTAGATTATTTCTGATGGCTTTATTTGATCAGTGTGAGTGTTTATTTCCTTATTTGTTTTCAGAAGCAAATCGAGATAACTAACAAGTCTTTAAAGGTCAGAATTGTAATTGTCTGTTTCTATTTTTCTTTCACAGAGATGAATTTAATATTAAAGTTCTTCAGGCTTTTGTTGAACTCCATGAGTTCGCTGATCTCAATCTTGTACAAGCCTTAAGGTGAGTAAATTCTTTCTGTTTTTTGACTTGAGCTTCCTCTATCAAATTGCATGTTTATATGAGTCACTGTGTTGATTTATCCGTCAGCAAGCTGCTCTACAGCTCAGCACAACTGTACAAATTACTGTGCAAGTGAGCAGAGACAGCTCTGTTTAACCCTTCTGACTGCTTGTGTGTGTGCTGCCCTTGAGGGTGAAAACTCCTGGTTATTTCAGGTTATTTTCAAATACAAATAACTGAAACAGCTGTTAATCCTCCGTGTGCCTGCCCATATGTGGACATTTGAAGACCTGTTTTATATCTTAGCACAGAGATAGGCTAAAAAAGAAATAAACTCTTTACTTAAGTAATTTTCTTCCTCCGTTTACTCCACCTCAACTTGTCCTTCTGGGCAGGGAGGGGGAGAAATCCCCTGATCCATGCTCTCCCTGATCATGTTCAATCACAGAGGGGTAAACTTTGAAACAAATGATTTCCTTCTGCTTGCCTCAGTTTCCTACTTGTCATGTGAAAGAGAGTGTGATATCTTGGTTTGTTTTCTTCCCTTGCTACATGAACAATTCCCTTGATTTATCTGGGATGCTTGCGTACAGTGACCTTGTGAGATCTCTTCTCATCTTGGTGAAAATCTGTAACAGATTGATCAAATTAGGTTGACTTAGACAGTTCTGCCTGGTTTTTTGCCCCAAGTGACTCCCTCCTGACACCAGATAAATGGAAATGTCCGTGTGATCTTTGTTTCTGGTGCAGTGCCTTGTGATGTGGAGTCAGAACAGCTTTGCTATGGTTGAGTGATGTGGTGATGATAACTTGAGCTGCCTGAGGCTTGGGCCAAAGAAGCTTTTCTGTGGCTGCTGAAGCTTGTCTGGGAAGCTTCGTATTCCTGTCTCTTTTTACCCAGTTTGATGTTAGGTTTGACTTTATTCTTCCTTAGCAGCTGCTACTATTAAATGTTTGTATTTTGGTAGCTTACAAAATTGGTGATCTGGGTTGGAACCTTGCACGAGGTGAGTAAAAGACAGTACATAGAGCTGACAAGCTAAAGATGGCCTGTGACACTTGAATATAATGTCCTAAAATGAAAACCAATGAAGACAGGAATAAATGGTTGTTATATTAGCATCCAAAGTACAGGGAATAATGAGAACTTGTTTTGCATGGCAGAGCATGTAACTTTGCTGGTTTAGATCCTGGTTTAATTCAGATAAATCTTTTGCTTAGAGATAAAAGAATAAATGATGAAATTCATTGGAACATTTTAGTGCCACAGTGTGCCAAAATAAATTTGTGAAGACTTCTGTCCTGTATGCATTCCAGTGTACCTCTATGTAGAAATAATAAGTTACAAAAGTAAACTCTGTATTTCAGTTTATGCTGCTAAGCAGCAGGAAGATCTTCTGTATATATTCCAGAATTACTGAAATGATGACACAAGTTGTTCTTTTTAAGGCCTTGGTCTGATTCTTTAGGGTGAGCTTACAGTAGACAGGCAGCACCTCTCTAAGCAGTGGAGTTTTCTTCTTGTTGTTACTATTTTTAGAAGGTTTTGTATGAATTTAAGTAAATATGTTAAGTCTTTCTATATTCCTTGTTTCTCTCTCCTTACACCAGAAATATTTTGTATGATGTGTCTTTTTACATTGTGAATAAAGTCTAGCTGACTGTGCATTGCTTTTTGTAGCCGGGAAACCCAGGGAGGATTGAACTCATTTTTTTCCCCCCATAGCATTCTCATGGCAAAAATGGGATGCATACAGAAAATTGTTTACTAGTCTGGAAAAGAGAGAGAGCCTCAGAATATGAACTGCCATATTATCTTGCCTGATAGCATGCAGTGTTGCTGGCTGAGTTACTGGGCTAGCCATCTGTGCATGTTGCTTTATAATAGCTCCTGACTTGTGTGTTGAGAGATTGAGAACATATTTCTAGGACATTCTATATAGACAATGCTGATTTTTTTTTCTTTTTCGTTTGTTTCGGATTATTTGTAATAAAAACCTGATATATAAATACTGGAATGAGTCTAATAACTATTTTTCCCTTTTTTAGGCAGTTTCTGTGGAGCTTCAGACTCCCAGGAGAGGCTCAAAAAATTGACCGTATGATGGAAGCTTTTGCTTCACGCTATTGCCTTTGTAACCCAGGAGTCTTCCAGTCTACAGGTCAGTCACAGGAAACCACAGGAGTTCCTAAGTACTTGTGTGATCCAAATATAATTTTTATTTATATGTATTTGTGTGTGTATGTGTGTTCTTCTGCATCTGATGCAAAGATGGAAGTTAGGGATAAAATAATGTGTGAAATGAGAAATACCTGAGAAATGAGAAAACGTGACTGGCTTATCCAGGAGGTGCAAGTTTATAGTCAGAATGCATTTTCATTTATAAAACATCACAGAACTGCACAGAATGCTCTGGCATTGCTGTTCTGTTTGGCTCTATACACAAATAGATTGCTCTTGATCACTTAATTTAAGGAACAGATAGAATGGGAAGAGGTTGGTGTAAAGCAGGTCTGTAACAGCTAGAGAGGAAAATAGCTACTGATAACAAACTGCTGAAGATGCAGGCACATTTTCCCTCTCTGTAGTAGGTTTTAATCCTGTTTTTTCTTACACAGAATCTTGTACTTGGATTCTGGGAGAATTTACTATAATCATAACCATGTCAAGAGGCATGATAAGATTTCCTTTGTCATCTTCTGATATTATCCAGTAGTGCTAGCTGCCTCCTGTATGCCGGGGAATTGACTCAATGTCATTTTCAGTCTTGTTAAATGCAGTCAGAATATTACTTTGAAGAGACCATTCTTTCTCTTTGGAGAGAGCTTTGGAAGTACTTTGAGTAGGAGGAGGCTGATGGACCAGGTTTATTATAGCATCCACCACTACGATTTAGGCAAAATCTGTGCAGAGAACATTTTTCCCAACACTTAAGCGTTTCAAGTGAAATGTTAATTTAAGGTGATAGCAATAAGCATAAGAGTTTAAATTTTTTGGATTCCCATACAGATTTTCTTGGTTTTTATTTGAATTGTAACATTTTTTTTTCTTCTTGGGCTGATTTTCAAGAGCTTAAGGATTTTATACTTTTATGTACAATGTTCAGGATTTTTTGACTGTTTCTTTTCCTTTATCAGTCAGGATGAGCTGTACACTAATTTTACAGGTTTGTACACACAACACATGGGAAGATAAACCCTTTTTCAAATCTGATTTCAGATACATGTTACGTGCTTTCATTTGCCATCATTATGTTGAACACCAGCCTGCACAACCACAACGTGCGAGATAAACCCACAGTGGAGAGGTTTATCTCCATGAATCGTGGAATTAATGAAGGTGGAGACCTTCCAGAGGAATTGCTGAGGGTAAGTTGGGCTGGCTAGGACAAAGCCTGGCTTTGTGTTTTTAATAGCAGACTTAAAAGTGTGCACAACAGTTCTCAGGCAGATTTGTCAAGGGAGGGCAAAAGAACATTTTCTGGCATGTGTAACCATTTGAGTAGCTGAAAGAAGCATTTTTTGTTATTCACAGCTACTACTTTGAGCTAGTTCTGCCTATATCCAACCTTTTGTTGAGAACAGGCTGTTTCAGAGAAAATGCTCTGTGTATCTCTCAGTAGTTTGCTTATGACAAAATTCTTGTGGAATTGGCTGCTTATGAAAAAAGTAGCATTTCTATCAGAAAAAATCGTAAAAATTATTTTTTCTTTATTGCCTCTCATTTTCCCCACATTTTATGAAGCTCCCTCCTTGAGAAATCAGTAGAAATAACTGCTGTAAGACAGTGTTATGGGCTACATCATTTTATGAAAACCCAGATTCATTTGCCAAAACTTGTTCTAAATGAAGCTGATCTTGAAACCTTCAAAATACCAAATGCTGAAGTTAAAATAAAAATGTCACTGCTAGGAGTGCTTAAGAAATTTGTACTGAAGAGAGACTTGTGTACACATGAAGTAGTTTAGAATCAAATTTTATCAAAGTAGTAAACAATGACAGATGGGGGTGGTCCAGAATTTTATGGACAATATTTCCTGTGCTTTTTATGCTAATAGTCTGAGAAGCAGTAAGATATCCTGGTTGCATTTTCTGTTAAGACATTTATTAATGAGGTCTTTTTCCTCTTTTATTTTTCTAGAATTTATATGAAAGTATTAAGAATGAGCCATTTAAAATTCCAGAGGATGATGGAAATGATCTAACGCATACATTTTTTAATCCAGATAGAGAAGGTTGGCTGCTGAAATTAGGTTAGTCACAAGGGCAGTTCTGCTGCTGTGTGTTTGTTCATTGTTAGCATGTTTGCTCCTCTGTGTCTTCCTGCTTTCTTGTGAAGGTAACAGGTTTCACTTTGTATTTAAAAATGTATGAACCAAAATAAGTAGCTCCTTTACGTCTGAAGGCTGTTGCTTCTTATTTTGCATACCCAAATTAGCAATCAGGTTCAAACTTCGGAGTTTTATTTCTGAGATCTGAGAAATAAAAACTCGTGGACAAAAAGGAAACACCACATGGTATTTACCACATGCTGTGACTGATAAATAACAACTGAGTCTCCATAAGGTCATTTCAGAAAACTGTGTGTGATGTTTCAACACAGTTTTCTGTGTACAAAAAAAGGATTTCTCTTCAAATAGTTATTTTTGTATGTCTTTATTTTTCCATATTATTTGTGAGTTTCTCTTGGTTTGGTTTTGGCTATGATTTTTTAATGAGTGGTTTAAATGTGCCTTCTTGTTTTCCTTATGGCCTATGACCTATCACCTTTCTGTTCTGTGACTGGCTGTCTCTGCTTATTCTGCATTAGGAGGTACGTATCTGATTGCTTTCCAGTCCCCTCTTCTTCAGTTGCTCATTCTTTTATTTTCTTCCTCCTTCCTCCTGGATTTTTCTTTTTTTCTTTTCTTTTTTTTTTAATCAGATTCGTTGTAGCATTTTGCTTTTTCACTCAGTGTCACTAACAGTGTCATCAGTGGTGCTCTGAGGGACTGGCATGTCAGTGTCTGACTCACATGCAGGTGTGTTCTGCAAAAGAAGAAAGCATTTACATGCAAAGCAGAAAAATAAGGATGACTTCAGCACACTTTTATCATTCATGGAAGATCATAACAAGGAAGGAATAACCTCTGCTGAGAGTAAACAACATGTCTTACTCTGTCATGAAGTTTCAGTGTGTTTTTGTTACTTGTTAATCAATGATAATAGGTTATTGAAAGATTGATTATATTTGAACTACATATTTATAAAAGCTGTTCTTTTTCCTGCTTGTTTTCCTTTTAAAATATTTAGCTTGTTTATACATTTAGCTTATTTAACTGAGTCTTAAATGAGCTTCAGATTTAGGGTTGCAGAAACCTCAGGTAGTTCTGTCTCCTGGCACTGTAAGAAGCTTTTGTTTTTACAGACTTGTAAAGTTGATGGGATTCACTTTTTCGCTTGGCCTTAGGAATTTTTTTTCCTATATAAAAGAGACTGACACTTTGTTTTAGGAGTTGTTTTCAAGACAATAAATTTTTTAAATTTAAACACCAGCACACGCTTGCCTAGAGACAGCTGTTGGCCACTTTAATGTGTTGAAGTGGAAGGAACTTTGCACTTGGAGAATGTGACTGAAGTGTGGAAATTGATGTGTGCTGGGGTGCACATGGGGAGGATGGTGAAGGTAGAGCCTGGATAGAGCCATAGGCCACAGTGCTGATTGCACCTGGAACTTGGTGGTCATGCTTGTGCTGGAAGGAAATGGATGTGAAAAGGAAGCATTTGGAATTCATTCACATGCTCCCCAATGTCGAATTCTGACCTCTGTGCTGCAGATGCTGTGGAGCTCCTTTTCTGACTACAAAGAAGCAAAGTGTTGCTTTTTGACCTGTATTGGCTCAGCTAGCACAATGTCAAACATGACCTTGCAGCTTTTCTCTATTTAGTAGCATGAGATGATGGTTAACAGAAAAGCCTTTCAAGCTGCTGTAGGTGGAATGTGCTTTTGGAGAGGAGGTCGAGTGTAAGGCCCGGCTGTGCCTGTTGCTGTTGCCAGTGCTCCCTCATGAACTTACACATAATGGGAGTGCAGGCAAGTGTGAGTGTGTGTAGAGGAGTGACAACATCCTCTGTGGAAGAAACTGCCCATAAAACAGATCTAATAAAAAAAAGAGGAACAAAGAACTTGAGGAAGTGATGACTGAAAGTAAGTGAGAGCTGCCAGGAACTTTTGCACAGTCTGTCTGTCGTGCAAAGTCAATAAACCACAGGTCAGGACTGAAAACTCTGAGTGTGCAGTGTGTAGGATGCAGATGAGGCACTGTGCACAGAAACCCCAGTAGTAAAAGGGTGTGTGAAGCAGAAGGGTGTTACACGTAACACTCCCACGGTATGAGGGTTATTTGAATAAAGAAATGAAATGTGTCCAGAAGCCTCCGGTGAATCAGCCTGGGAATGCCTGGAGCTGCCTTCTGTGAAAGACTGCATTTTTTCCACAGACACAGACTGGTACAGACTAATACACTGCTAGTTTAGATGCAATGACCAGAAATAAACCTGACAGTCTTTTTTTCTTAATTTTTTCCCTTTTATTTCTTTCCTCTCCTTCAAGTTTCCTATTTGCTAGGAGTCTAAAACTGTATGTTGAGAGTGCTGTCTCAGTCCACATCGTTTGCATTTTTACAGTCGTTTCTCTTGAGAAGCACTTCTTGTGAAATGGGTGTGGTTTCCTTCAGTTCTAGAAGCTTCTGATACTAAAAACTTGTGTATTGTTGAAATGCTAAGGAGACAAACTCCTGTATGAGGGTTTAAGTGCTCAGTTGTGATAAAACATAGAAGATGAAATAGAAAGTTTTTATGTAAAACTATAAACATGACTAAGACTACTTGCAGACTCTGAGTATATCAAGACAGTATTTTTTATCTGGTGTTTCTCATAGTCAGCTCTTCCCATTTATGTAGTTGTGCCTCTTTTTTTAGTATTCCATCCCTTACTGTATTGATTTTTCTCTGGGCAGAAGATAGATATTGTGCAACTTTAATATATTGTAAAATTCATCTGTCCAAGAGACACTAATCTGGGTTTCAGAAGGCTGGGAGGGTACAGAAGGCTTTTGGAGAGTTTGCTGCTCTGAATTGTTCAGAGGTGACTGTGTTAAGTCCGAGTGCCAAACCTGGCAGCCAGACAGCAATTCTGGTTTTATCTATCTAGACTTAGCCAGTGCCTTTAAATAGACATCTTTATCTTGGTAGGCCTAAATTATCATTCAGTTCTGCATCGTTTGAAGCATGGTGTAATGAAAATGAATGCAGCAAGTTAAAAACTGAAAGCTGCTGAGTGCTAGTGAGTCCTCCTTGGAGCAGCTTGACACACTGTGAGCCTTCAGACTTTTCTACATAATGAATGATGTAGATAACATGAAATTTTCTACCATCCACTCTAAAGCATTTTGAAATTGTTGCCTATGCTCTCTTTGCTAATGCCCAAGTTAGAACTGTTGTGCCAGGAAGGTGTTTCCTTACCTTAAACAGCTTCTCTTGGCCAATTGCTTGGTTTGTGTAATATTTTCTTCTAGTTAGTTAGAGGGAAACTTTGACATTATTCCCCCAAACTGGAGAGGAAATGATTTCAGCCAGACACATGAGTGTGTTAATTTTTTCTGCCAGTCAGGCGGTTACGGAGTGCTTGGAGAGGGTCCAGGAGCTTCACATCCGGGCCTGTCCCGCCAGCGGTGCTTGTTCCAGCACATCTGGCCTTGGGAGGATGTTGTTCCTCCTCCCTGATCTGGCTGGGAGAGCAGGGCTGTTCATCAGGAACCCGGGGCCTTCCTGTACCTGCCTGCCCCTTGTGGGGACTGAGGCTCTTCCAGGGTCAGGAATCACTGCTGTGCTCAAGGGAAAATGCTTCCTAAAAGAAAGCCAAGCTTTGATCCAACCAACTGTGTGGTTGCTGAGTCTGTTCTGTCTGGTGCTATCTAAATTAACTCAGGAAAAAAAACCATTTTTGGTGTGTGCATCTCTCAGCTCTAAAGCTTTTAATATAAATGACCTGAAGATTTGCGTAGAACTTTGTAACTTTAGATACCTTGCTGCCTTTAGCCTTAAGGCCTTTTTTACTTTGGAGATTAATGTTTCCTAAGTCCTTGCCAGTTATTTTTCCCTTTATTATAGATGATTTATTTTGCCTTGTTGCCTAGTTTGTTCTTTGCCCAGAGTTAAAAAAAAAAATCCTCTGTTGAGTTACAAAGGTGAAGAGGATTTCTGTTCCTGTTTCTGTACATTTTCCCTTGTAGCCTTTTCTTGTAGTTTACTTACATTTCCACCTACTGTGGAAGATACTTTGCTTCTATATTTCATTATTTGAGATGTCTGTGCATTTTTGTAATCAGCATGATCTTTCAGAAGTATGTCACTTATCTCTCCATTTCTGAAATGTTTATGGATTCATACTCTGGTTTTCTTGATCCTCTTCTGCTAACTTAATTCCTTCCAGTCTTAATCTTTAAAAGACTGGGAGCTGGAATAACAGATGAAGTATGGCACTAAACCCTCTGTTGTTGCTTTGTGAGCCTACAGCAATCTCAGCCAAGGACAAGAATGTTTTGTTATCACGTGTTTTTACCTATTAATCTCATGTGCAGTTTACAGGCCACAGTGCCTTATCAGCCACCTGCTTGAGCTGCAGCCCATTGTAAAGGCATATTAAACACATGTGATGTGGTGACCCCTGCAAAATTTGATTAGTACAGATTAGATTTTGAGCTTTATTAGAGTTTCTGTGCTGTTGACAGCTGAAACTCAGTAATGGGATGGCAGAGACTTATATGTGAAAGTAGTTCCTTATCCCACCAAAAAATCCTGCCTAACTGCTTTCTTTTTTCTTCTTTTTAACTTTTTTTTTTTTTTTTTTTTTTCTCTTTGGAAGAGTAACTGATAGCTTGGTGGAGCAGGGACTTAAGGTCTATTTCTATGACTCCCATGAGTGCTGTAACCCAGTGAGCTACTGGCTGTTTTAGGAGAAGGGAGCAGTAAGAGGGATGTTGATGGAAATACATAATCTCCTTTGTGGCTTCCCTGGAACTGGGCGATGTTTCATGACAAAAGCATCCTCAAAACTGCAGCATGATTACAGAAGGTTTCAGGTTTGAGAAGTCTGGCTTTTCCAGAGAGAGTGGATGTTGTCAGGAAAACATTCAGCAAACTCAGCTGCTGTTTATTGCTTGGCAATTCATATTGTTCTGGGAGTGTGTGTTTTAGGTCTGTTGTTTCTTTCTTAAATTATAAACAGGTCTTCTTTTAAATATATGGTTATTACTGATTTTTTTATTGTGTTTTGACTTGATATCACAGTTAATGAGAAATGCCTTTGTTCACTTCACTCTGCTCTGTTATAGTAACCTCTTTCCCTGTCAGATTCATTCTCTCTCCTCCTGAATTATTTTCCTGCTAGCACTGGGCAAGCCATGACCTCTGATAGCTGATATTACCTGTTAGCCTGAAAAAACAGGGTGTTTTAGGGTCATAAAAACGTTAAGTGATGTTAATCTGCTAACCTTGGAGAGCAGAAGGTGACTGGGAGCGCTGGCAGTGGTGCTGGGCTGTGTGAGAGCGAGTCACGTTGGGAGCTGCAGGGAGTGCCCTGCTCCCTGTGATTCCATTGGGCTGGAGTTCATCAAACCAGCCTAAACACTTCCTGATACCTGAGCCAGCTCTCGGGCAAGGTGCTGGGGATTTTTGTGGTGACTCACGTGCCAGTTTGAACATCTCTGCAGTGTTTAAGGATCTGTCACAGTGGTTGTACTAAAATTCAATTCTTCCCTCACTGTCTCCAGTTCACTCAACCATTCATTGTGTCACGGCTTCTGCATCTTGCACTTTTTTGCCTTCACTTATTTCACCACACCTGCTTGCAGATTAAATTTTTCTTAAGATATGAGTGCATCTGATGGAAACAAGTTTATTGGGTACACTTAATGTTGCAGTGTGTTATTTTAGCACTGGGTTATTGTGGAGGTTGTGAAAAGCAGCAAAAGAAAGGTTCAACATGCAACACACTTGGTCTGCAATGCAAATATGCAGTGGATTGGTATCGAGAAATGTCATGATATCCCTAGAATTGTTCTTTAATTTGAGTTAGATTTCTATATTAAACAAAAGCCCAGCTATCTTAAGATAGACAACAAAAAGATTAAAAAAATATGCTTATATCTTAAATTTGATTATATGACTTGGATTAAACTGGGTATCTTGTGTGTATCGATGGTGCTCTTTTATGCACAGGTGTTCAGTAGCAAGATCAACTCTTTTGAAATGTTGGCTTAATGAAATTAAATCACTGCTGAATGGATGATGCACAGGTGGTGACATAATCCTGAAGTCACATAACTATGGTGGATCTAAACCTTTAATAACATATGCATGCTCTATCTACAATTGTCTTTCTTGGAAGTGAATTTTAAAACAATGTAATGTGGGAAGCCAAGTGTGTTCTGAAGCAGCCATTGGCTGAAACACAACTGAGAGGGCCAGAACAATGCTGTTGTTTCTAAAAAGAAACTGTTCCCTGCAGGGTGACATTAGCAGGTGTAAGGAAGAGGAACTCTGTGGTTGCTGTTGTCTAAACTGTCAATGAAGGAAAAATTGGCATTTTTGGAGCAGTAGCTATTTCTTTGTCAAGTACTCAATGATATATTAACCCATGAAAAGAAAATGTTTTTAAAATACTGAAAGATGACATATTAGTAAATATGGTATATTTTTGCATAGGATTTGTTTCTCATCACATTTGTTCTGTTAATGTTTCTGAGCACCTTACACACTTGATATTAAATCTGAAAGTAGAGACAGGTTCTTAACCACATCTTTGCTGATGAGTGGAGTGACAGGAAGGTGATAAAAAGCCCTTTAATTTTATTGATGGGACCCTTTCCTTGCCCAGGACAAGCTGTTGGGGGGTTTCTCCTGTTGCAGGGATGCAGTTGCTGGTTCTGCAGGCAGTGCTGCTGTGGGTGTCAGAGCAGCCCAGGCTGGCCTCACTCACCCCCAGCAGCAAGGGCAGGGTCCTGCCCTGTGCAGAGCTGGAATTTTTGGTGCAGTGAGCACATGTGAGGGCCTGGACAGAGGGAGCAGGTCTGGCCACTCACTCGCTGCTGCCCCTGGCTCTCGAGGCTGATGGCACCTCCATAGTTGATGCTGCCTCAGGACAAGTTGCAGTAACTTCCTTTAACCTCACTCATCTGTGCCTGATCCATTTACCATTAAACAATTAAACCACACTTTGAAAAATAAGAACTTAATTATTTCCTTGCCCTGTTGTTGAAGCCCTGACAGCAGCACATGTTTAATTCTGGAATCCCTTTTGTTTGTAGGGGGAAGAGTAAAAACATGGAAACGGAGATGGTTTATTCTGACTGATAATTGCCTGTATTACTTTGAATACACAACAGTGAGTATATATCATGGTGAATTTTCTTTATAATCAAGATTTATGAGTAGCTAACAATGTGATGTTTTCCTGATTTTTTAGGACAAAGAACCTAGAGGAATTATTCCATTAGAAAATCTTAGCATAAGAGAAGTAGAAGACCCTAGAAAACCAGTAAGACAGTTTCAAATTTATTTTTTAAATGAAGATGAGTAAACCATATGGAACTTAATTGTACTGTTAAATGAATTTATTTGTCAGTTTTGTTTTGTTCTTTTAAATTTATTACTTCATTTCTACCCTCCAGAACTGCTTTGAGCTCTACAACCCCAGTCACAAAGGTCAGGTAATCAAAGCGTGTAAAACCGAAGCTGACGGCAGAGTGGTGGAGGGCAACCATGTCGTGTACAGAATATCTGCTCCCACCCCAGAGGAGAAGGAGGAGTGGATTAAATCTATCAAGTGAGTTTGAAGTCTGAAATGTCTTTCAGAAATGAAGTGTAAGCTCTTTTCAGAGTGTGATACGAAGAGAATCTGTTGTAACTTGTTGGAAGAACTCTGATGTGGCAATGTCCTCGAGGACTAACAGTGAGCTCTGTGGGGTTGGTGGATCAAGATTCAAATCTGTTACTGTGTGGTCCTAAGGAAATACTGCTGCTAACTCAGATGAGGAGAATATGGATTTGTTGTTCTATGCAAATGTAAAATCTTGTGTGAATTGTCTTTAAACCTAATTCTATTGGATTATTGCTTCACCCAATAATTAACTTTAGTGACATGTATCTTAAGCATGTTCACAAGCAACTTTAAACTTCCACACCTTAACTTTATGTTGGAAGGTTTCTAAGCAGACCCACACTTAAATAAATAATAGTCAGGATGTGAAGGTGTGAGCTCTGAACACAGTGGAATAGACCCTTGTGCTGAAGAAATAGATGTGGTGCTTAGCAGTCAGCCATCCATCTTAAGAGTGTGGAGTCATCCACAAGGAAGAGAGAACAAAAGTTTTAGTTTTCACAACTATTGAAATAGTTAATGGGTATTTGTTAACCAAACTGATGATTCCTTTTTTCTCTTCTAGAGCAAGTATCAGCAGGGATCCCTTTTATGATATGCTGGCAACAAGGAAAAGAAGAATTGCAAATAAGAAATAGAACATGAACAGCAACTTGTGACCTGCATCAACCTATAACTGAACATACTGTGGAGTGATAGAAGAAATTGGACAAACTAAATGAAGACAACTGTAAATTTTATATATATATACATATATATATATATATATATATATACACACATTTTACTATGGCATAAAAACTTGGCAGAACTTTTCAGGGTAAATAGTTACTGGTATATAATTTGAAGTAAGCTTCAATTCCCAGAGAATTATTATATTGGAACTTAATTCAACTGAACACATGGAAGTCTTGTTTTCCCTTAGATTAGTGACAACTCCAGTTTACTTGGGTTGGGAGGGAAGGAGTGCAGGCCTAACACTAAGATGTCCTTACCTGTTACCTGAGCACATTTCCCATAAAAGAAGGAGTTTTATAATTACTTTTGAGTTCTCACTTGAGTGCAGCACCAGCAGTGGAGCACAGCACGACCTGGCACTGCATTTTCCCTGCATTTTCCTGTAAGCAGAAACCTCACAGTCCCAGTGGCAGTTTTCAGTCGTGTGTGTTTCACAGGAACAGCTGAGTGCAGCTTTCATTCAGGATTCCTCTCCTACCTTCATGGAAATAGCTTTCCTTAGAAACACAGTGACTGGCAGCTCAGTGGGCACCTCGTGGTGCCAGAGGGTTTGTCAGTGAGCACTGAAATACAAATACAGGCAGGGCCCAGCAGCAGAGGTTTGAGGCTGTGGCCATGCCATGAAGTACCAGATGTGGTCTGGTGTTTGCCAGCTGGCTAAAGCTCATTCCTGTCTGCTCATACACTCACAGCAAACACTAAGGTCTAATGACTGGTTTAATCTGCTTTTTCTGTAGTAACTTCCTTCTTATGTTTGAGATGCTGTAGTTTGATTAATTAACACTAAGTTGCTACTAAAGGAGTGAGATGACAGAGCTTGTGTGACTTCAGGCCTTGCATGTGAAAACACCCCCAGATAATTTCACATGCATTCAGTGTTTTTAAAGGGAAAAGCCAGGAAGGTGAACTGTCCCTGTAAGATGCAGCCCTAGAGAGTTAAGCAAGCAGGATTCATTCCTTTGCTTGATAACAAACTTTGGACATAGAGAGTTTGTGCAAGTTTATACAAGTCCAGTATTTTTATTGCATTCTTAAAGGTGATTTTCAGATTTGTGCTACAGCAGTTGAAATTGAAAAAAATAGACATTTTTACTAAAAACAAAGTATTGATTGCCTGGTGCAGCTAGACTTCCCCACAGGCATGTGTCTCTGGATTTGAAACCTGTGAAGGTCCTACTGCTGGGTCTTTCAGGAACACAACTGGTGCAGCAGATTTTACTCCAGTGCTTTTCTGTTGATAGCACACATATTGTTCTTAAGGTAAAACCCCTAATTCAACAACAGGGCAAAAAGTGGGAGGTTTTGACTCTACTGCTTCTGTTACTACTCAGTTTTTCCCAAACTTGTTGAACCTGAGCCCTGCCTATTGTGCCAGTGGATGTGTTGGAGACCCAAAATGTTCCAGCAGCTTTGCTTGTTGGTCACAGGAGCACCTTTGGCTCTGTTGTAGGGAGATGTGCTGCACTGGCAAACCCACAGACTTACCAAGGTCTGAAATCTCCTTTGAGCTTTCTGAAATCTCCTTTGAACTTAAGGGAGAGTCTGTTTCACTGTTCTGTCTTACTGATTTGCCTTGTTTTGCATGGAGTGTCAGCCTTGTGAGTGTTTTGCTTTATTGCATGTTTGCAAAAGAGGCTGAGAGGAAAAGAACAAAGTAAATTTTCCTACATTTTAGATTTTCCCCAGGGTGTGTGGAATTGCTGGGGTGAATGTTTAAATCTTAGTGCTTCCAAAGGAGTAAAACTCAGCCAGAGGAGGTAGAATCCTTGAGTAAGTGTCAGTGTGGGGATATCTTTTCTTAATGGAACACATTTAAACTCTTTATAGAAATTAATTAGTTGTGTGTCCTGTGTTTGCAAAGCAGCACAATGATGGAGCTGCTGCCAGCACTTGTTTTGAGTCTTCTGTTCTGCAGTGACATTTTGTTTTCAAGCACTGCCTACATCAAGTCTTAGCTTTGGACAAGTAGATTTGTAATGCAAATAGTGACAAGCCAAATCAGTGGTACTAGTGAGCATAGAGGTGAAAGGCAGCAAATTCAGTATTTCTGGAGAAATGTGAGATTACAAAAGCATTAATAAGCCATGAAGCACTTTTGTATCAATTTTTATTTTCTGAAATACCACCTTTGAGGAAATCTATTTATTTAACCAGGTGAGGATGTCTGTCTATAAGCATGAAGGAAAGGCCTTGACAGTTCATTTGCTGTATTTAGTTCGAAGTTCTTATATCCAGCAGAAATAATTATTTAGAGTAACATGTAACTGAGGATATTATAGCAGGAAATATTTTATTTCTTAGCATTGAAATGCAACATCTTAAACAGCTACTTGTGGTGCTCAATGTATCTATTTAATTTACCAAAGCTAATGGAATAGCGTTTTTGTGTGTGTTAATATTTGATTTCAAATGTTCTTTGTAACAGTATTAACAGGGAGTGAAACTGGCCCAAAATTTCCACTGGCCACGGGGCCAGTAAAACAAAGTGGCTTGTGAAAATTTTGGCCATATCAGGTACTATCCACGAGAGTGAAGAAAAATCTCTCAACCTTTCCCTTTTTTATTGGGCTTCAAGTCCAGGGGTGGCTACTGAAAGTGGCTGCTTGGTGGCATAAAGCAGGATCTGTTACAGTTTGGCCATGCTGAAGAAAAGTCCTCTGGGGACAACAGATTCTCCCTTCCTGTGGCACTGAAACTTGAGGAATTCTTGAGCTCTTTGCTTTTGGCCCTGCCCTCTACAACTGCAGGGCAGCAGAGCCGTGGTGCCAGTGCAGCTGGGAGGGAACTGTACACAAAACTTAAGCTCAGCTGGACTGACTTAAATTTTACAATATTCTGACAAAATAAGCTCTGCATCACTTAGCTTTTTGAACCATTTTAGACTGGTACAAAACGGAACCTTTATAAAGTGAGCAGCATTTATAATGCTTCATATATAAAAAAAACTGCATATTTTTAAGATTTATTACATATCTATGTAGATATGCTTGCTGGAAAAGCTAGGTCTGTTGTAGACCAGATACTACAAATTAAGACTTGTGGCTTACCAGTTTCATTTCTATATTTTCTTGGAAAATGTTTCTAGCTAGAGTTTAAATATAAAATGTAAATACTGTACAGGTATGTATTGATATGAGTATTACATCGTGTGTACAAGTGATTTGCATGACAAATATTCTGTATCAATCATTGTTATAACGGTGATGTTCCTATGTAAAGCCACTGCAATATTAATGTTTTCATTTATCATTAAGAGCTGTTGCTTAAATCTGTCAATTTTCTCAAAAATAAAGTGTGAAACTGTACTGTCTCCTCATTTACCAGGAATACATGGGAGGCAATAGCTGACTCTTAAGAGGTTAAGGTTTAATTTTACAACTGCTCTTCTAAGTAAAAGGCTTTTTTTTCCTACCCTTAGGCACAGTAATTTAAATTACCAGGTTAAATTTTTGCAGAGAAAAACCCTTCAGCTGCAAAATGTTTCAGTAAAGTGTGTTACCACATGAGTGTGACTCCAGTAAAAGGAGGTTTCCCTTGAGAGCCACCCTAAATTGAGGTATTTTATTTTGTCAGTTCCCTACCAGGAGTTAGTCAGATGTGAGGGGGAAGCGGATCTCTGCTCCTGGAGTGATTAATTAGTTTCCTCAATTAGCAATTAGAAACAGGTGCTGCTCTCACAGCTCTGGGGCAGTGACACCCGGAGCCCTCTGTGCTCCAGAGCCACGGGGCAGCTGTGCCCGTGGGGCTCTGAAGGGAGGCACAGCACCCACACAAACTCCTTCAGACACTTCTGCTGGAGTCACTCATCACACAAAGGACAGGACACCAAACCTTGGAGCCAGAGGACAAAAGAGGACAAAAAAGCCAGATACAGGACAGGAATGTTGGTTACTTTGCCATGTCACTTTATGTAAGTCACATAACTGTTGCCATAGGAACATTATGCAGGTACATTATGCTTTGGCTTGATGGTGCTCTCCATGTACCAAAAGATTACTTTTAAGTATTTAGTGAGATATTAACCTTGCTCTTTTTTGCTTTTTTTCCCTGTTAGTTTTGGTTTTGTGGGTTATTTTGCTTTTTGTCATACACAATACCAAGCTCCTGCTGAGCTCCCAGCCTGGTGCCTGGCTGGGGAAGCTTTAAGTTCAAAGGAGAAGCCTTCAGCATCCTTGTCCAGGCAGCTGCAGTCCCAGTTACTGATTTTCTTCTCTGGCTCACACCAACAGCATCTTCTCCCCTACACTGAGAGGAAGATGTGACTTCTCCAGAGTCAAACACACTCTGCCAGCTGTCAGCTCCCATGACACAGTGCATGTTAAATAACTCAAGTAAAACTCAAGTAAAAATCCATTTTAACTTTGCTGTATTTATATACTATATAAATTTTACATGCTATATATTTACAGTGGGGCAAGTGCTTTTTATCTTTAAAAAAACAAAGATCAAACTTTAGACATCTCTGAACAACACAGCTTGTATAAACCAGACAGATTATTCAGATGAACTGTATTTAATACAGGTTCCCCACTCATCTCCTGATGCAGGACCAGTGAATAATAAGTGCATCACAGTTTGATAGCATTTAATAATAAAAATAAAAATCACAGTATGAATTTGTCTGTAACTAGACACTTTAGAGAGACAAAACAGACAACTGAGACTTAAGACAAATGACAGTATATTAAGAAAATGTAATAAAAACATATGGAACAATATACAAATAGTCTTGAGAGATACATTCAGAACTGCATATTTGTTGTTTCACAATGTCGAAAACCAGAAGATTTTCTTCAGATCTTGAATATAACTCAAATGTGAAGTAAATTAGTTTCTAGTGTCAGACCACAGAAAAAAAAAATGAAGCTCTTGCAAAACTTGTGAAGTTTTAAATAAGTCTTTAAATTAAATATACAGACTGTCAGTTGCAACTTTTATAATTCCTGGTCGCTCTTGCACCAGATGTCTTAACTTGGAGTAACATTACATGAATAACATAAAGTCAACCTGAGTCTGTAATTAAGCAGCATTTGAGATGGTCTATTCCAGGGCATTATCTCAGCTCAGTGAGATATTTATGTGGTAATTTACAATGTTCAGCAGTTGTAAAAAGTTTTCACCCTTTTGGATTAGAAGTATATTTTAAAAAAGAAAGTCTCAAGTTAAAAACTAAAAAAAAGTTCTTATATGGTAAAATTCTGTACAGAAATGTTAAGCACCACTTATGACTGGATTTTGTCTTGATGGTAATTGATAATAAATCTTAAGTTTTGATGGTCACTATTGGTAATGTCAGGTTTGAAGGTAAGAAGTCGTTGAAGGTAAGAAGTCGTTGGTTGTGATGGTGAGGGGTTGTTGGTTTTGAAGGTGAAGGGTTGGTGGTCAGAAGTCCTTGGGGTTGGTGGTGGGTTCAGTCTGAGTATTGAAGGCTTTCATCAGTCAGCTCCACATCTGAAAGGCAAAAGGAAACCAGGTCAGTCCTGCTGTGACATTTAACATTAAACTGTCTCAGGGGTTTGATTTCTAAAAGACAAGGCTCAAAGCTGCCCCAGCTCCATCTGCTCCCTCAGGACAGGATCCAGCTGCTCCCCAGTTCTGGGCTAAGGCTGCAGAACTGAACAGAGCCTTAGGACAGAGCCACCTGCTCTAACAGCAAGTGCTGGACCTTGGCTGGATCAAATGTAATTGAAGTTCTGCCTAGAAAGCAGCATTGTTTTAGTAACAATCTTGTGGTCAGGCTGACCAAATTGAACCCACAAGGGCAGAGCCTTCAGAAACTTGCTGGAGAGAACATGTAGGAATGTAGAAAAGAACTGCTTCAGAGCTGCTCCTTCCCCCCTCCTGTATGAACTTTTCTGGGAAAATAATTTATCACTAGCTGTTTTTATTAATTTATTCAAAATAACAGGAGTTGGGTGAAAAGGCACAACCTCACAATTCCTCAGTGGTTCCTTGCCTGTCCCTACCTTGAGACATTCAGTATTCTAAAAACACAACCAAAGCAGCTTCCATCCAACAGAGAATGCTACTTGAGAGCCACTTAAAAAAAAAAAGAAGAAAAAAACCCCGACATTCCAGAAGATGGAGCTAATTAACATCCATGGACTTGAGGAAATACTTAAATTCTCGAGACTTAAACTGCTTTTGGCAGCCCTGGTCTCCCCCTGGTGTTGTTCAGCTCCTTCTCCTTCCTGCTCGGCCCCGCAGCCTCAGTGCCCTGCCCTGAGCAAGGAGACTCAGATCACCGAATTCCTCACCAAACCTGCTTTGGAAAACCCGAGTTTGCCACCTGCTGGCCACAGAATCACCAAGGCCAAACCACGACTGAGCACAAGCATTTTATTCTGTTTAGTTCCTGCTTTGTCAGCTAGAAAAGACCCTTTTAGTGCAAGAAGGGTTATTTTGGACATGAGTATTAAAAAAGAAGCCTCCTTTTACACCATTAGGATTTGAAAGACTTCAATTCAGTTCTTAATTTTTTCTCATTAAAGAATAATGGGTGAACAATCAGCTTTCCCTCCACTCTAATTTTAGGATAGAACTTTTGGTTATCTGTGTCTTAAAATACAATCAGTTTTCCACAAATGCACTTCTCCTTTGCCGTGAGCAAACTTTTCAGTGCACGAATTCAGTGCACTGATTGTGGCAATCTGCCTAAGTGTGGAAACCCCATGAAAGGGATTTTAATTTTCCAGAATTTCAAGATCAAACTTCTCCAATTTTTTTGTGTGCTATATTGACAGTTTCAACATGACTAGAAATGAACAGGACTGTCACTGACCATTAACCCAATTTTTCAACTATAGGTATAAAATCCAAAACTTGCTTTTGGATAGTGAGCTGTCTTCTTCACTTATCTTTGAGTAAAATAGTTAGGGGATTGTTTTGGTTTTCTATTAAAATAGATCAGTAACTGGAACTGGTTTATGCCAGATAACAGGCATTTAATAAGGTTTTATTTCTATAATAAACACTTCTGCTCAGCAAAAACTTCATGGGAAATGTTGTCAAGTTTGATTTTAGATGTTGAATTTGTTGCAGTGTGCAATCATCTTCATTGCATAATTTTAGAGCTAATTAATTTAAACTAATTAATTTATCTACTGCGAGCCCAAGTTGAGATTATGACAAGCAACAGCTGAGAGCTCAGTGTAAATTTAGTCAGGCACACAAATTCATATTTGGGTTTTTTGTAAGAAGCACCAGACAGACTTTTTCAAATACCAAAAATGGGGAAAGAGCTGTTTCCTCAGCCCACTTCTATGTATTGTTAAGCCTATACTAACAGAAAAACCCCACAACTGAATAAAACAATAGCAGGAATTTAACACTCTCCAGGTGTTAAACTGTGAGGTGTCCTCTGGAGGTTTGACAGCTGTGCTTAGGAGAAGGCAGAGCTACACCTGGACCAACAATATTTCAGTATTATCACCAACTCCTGTTATTCTGAGTGAGCAACCTGCACTGTTTCTATGCTATGAACAACTGAATGTAATATTTTATTCAAATTATAGAATGGTTTGGGTTGAAACGGGATCTTAAAGATCATCTACTTCCAACCCCCTGCCACGATGCTGTTTGGAAGCTGTGCTAAAACCCTGGGATTTCATCAGCCAAGCATTTAAAGATGTTTATACAGCCAGGAGTCCTGCCTTACCTCTGACATACTCAGTGGATGCCATGGAGCTGTATTTCTTGCTGTCACCTGCACCAGAAGGCTTCTCTTCCTTGTAGGGTTGTTTACTGCCCTGGTTTCTGTATTGCTCACATAAATGGTCATCTGGAGGACGGGATTCTTCCTTCTTCTCCCATGTTTTCTTCTGGAAACGAGGATCTAAATATTCCAATAAGTCTTTCAGTTTCCTGTCGTGCTTCTTCTTTTTCTTCTTTTTCTTATGTTTGCGATTGTCATTGTCAAAGTGGAGCACAGAGCAATCCAAATCATAAAGTCTGAAGGAAACATGCAAGTTAAAAATAGAAAAACAGATGTGGCACTTGATGTATATATGAAATGTTATTTATTTACCACAGGTGACGACTTGCAGAGTGTCTGCTACTTTGTGGTACTTTCTGCATATCTAAGTTAATTTAGATGCAGCAATCTTAAGCCCTCAGAATGAAGGACAAGAGGTCGTGGTTTGTACACAAATTGTTAACAGGCATATGGGGAATTAAAAAAAAAAATTAAAATTGTAACCTAATCAAGAACGGTGTGCAGATGTTATTCTGTCTACATTGTCCAGCTCTAGTGTTCTAACACAATTCAGCAACATCTTTCCTATCTTCTCTTGGCCAACCTAACAACATGATCCCGTCACATTATGACAGATAAGTTACTTAGAAACAATGAAAAAAAGGCAGACATGAGAAATACCCAGAAAATAATTAGGAAAAAATTGCTGATTATGCTGGAATCCTTGCTTACTTGTAATCCTTCTCTCGATGTTTATCTTTGGACTTCTTTTTCTTCTTGACCTTCTTATACTTTTTGATTCTTTGGTCATCTGTCTTTCGGCATTTCTTTTCTACGTCACTTCCACTTTCTTCTTGGTGGGAGTATTTTCTTTTGCCATTTCTTAGCTTTTCTTTTTCGTTTTCCCGCGAAGAGTCCTCGAAGCTGGAGTGAGCTGAGCCTGCTGGAAGCACGTGCCTCTCACGGGAGTATTTTTCCGAGTGCTGCTGAGGTACTGAACAGTGGTGGAAGTTTGCTCTGTGGCTGCTGAAGTGATGCACATCCTCCTCTCGGGAGAGTGTGCTGTGAGCCCATCTGCTTTTGCAGTGATAATCCTTGTGTGACCTGCTGTAAGCTTGGCTCAGTTTGTCATAGTCTTTATCACAATGAGAGGACCTCCTCTCCCTACCATCCCTTGTTCCATGGGAGGAATAATAATCGTTGTAGTACCTGCATTTGTCCCATCTCCGTGGTTCATCTTGATAATATCTTTCTCTAATCCAGAGTCTGTCTCCTTTGGAATAATGATACCTACTCCTGTCTGGGTCTGTCCTTTCTCTGCTTCGGGATCTGTAGCGAGAATATTTTCCTGAGCTCCTGCCGTTACTGGGACTGTTCCTTTCGTTGTGGGAGGATCTGTACTTGCTCTCACTGCAATACTCCTGCTTGTGACGGCTTTGCTTGTTTGTTTCCAGGCTGTGAGAGCTCCTCCTCCTGTGGGAATGATCATCTGGTTTGTTTCTGGTTTGCCTCTCCTTCTCCTCAGTGTCCGAGCTTTCTCTCTTCCTCCTGTAGTGCTCTTTGTCAGTTCTTTTAGAGTCATGGATTTTTTTCTTATTTTTTCTCATATGTTTATCATCATCTTCACATGTTTTATTACTCAGTCCCTCGTCTGCTCTAGAAAATTGACTTTCCAATACTTTATCCAGCTTTGTAATAGAAGAGTCATTAACAGGTGGTACCTCTACATAGTTATTAGAAATGTCCTTTGTATCTTGGCATTTATCTGGAATATCTAGAGATGCAAGTTTTTTAGAACTACATTCAATGTCAGGCTTTATAGAGGAAATTTGCCCTAATTTTTCTTTGCTCTCAGGAGATCCTTTGATGTACAAAGGATTTTCTTTTGAAATGAGTTCAGGTTCTTTTGATCTTCTTAGTTTGTCTTTATCTCTGATGTCTTCAGACTCACACTGCCCAAGGAATTCACCTTCAGTATCCAAGGATTTTTTCCTAACCTTGTGCTGACCATTGATATTGAGATGTGCATTATCAGCTTTTGTTATAACACTTTCAGCAACTTCTTCTTTGGTAAAAATGGTTTCAGAATCTGATTGAGTAAAAAGTTTCTCAACCTCACAGCTAAAGTTGGAAGGAACCTTCCTGGATTCTTCATAGGCAAATAGTGCTTCCATCACTACAGTATCTGTAACTCCATCATTGTCAGAAGACTTCTGAGATCCAGAGACACTGCACAAAAATAAAAACATTTTAACTTGAAAAAGTCCATCTAAAAGATGTTAGGAGTAAAATCTCCTAAAAAAAAAATAGTAGCTAATGCAAAGTTCTGAAAGAAACTGACTTTAGAAAACCATTCTTACACCTCCCTCAGCTCCCATGGAGTTGGAGTCAGTTCTGCAGGTCTTGCCTTAAAAACCCATCCCCAACATATCCAACTCCCTCCACTTGCAGCTCTGAATCTCATCAATAGCCAGAACAACTGTATTTGCTTTTCCCCCAGTTAGAAAAAAGGTAAACACACAGATTTCCCACTCTCCCAAGTGGGAGAGCAGATTGTGGGAATTTACATTCACTCATCCTAGGATGCAAAAAAGGCAAAGAGGAATAGAAAAAGTATTCCAGACAATGAAAGAAAAATGTAAAAACATCCTGTGAAAGTTTTACAGGAGGCATCTGCCTGTATTTAGTAACAGAATAATGTGTGCCCAGTGCTGATGTTTGCACAGATGTACAGTGTGGAATTCTTTGTACTGATGTAAATATTTTTAAGTATTACTTAAGATGGATAAAATAGTAATAAACTTGTATGAAATCTTGTTTTAATCAGTGCAGTCATTTTACCTCTTTTCCTCTGACAAGCTGTTCAACTGGCTGTACGTAAGAGATTCTAAGATACCTTGAGGATCTGGTGACAAAGCTTTAGGCATCTACAATTAAAACACAGAAGTTAACAAAGAGAAAAAAAAGCTATTTTTAGTAGAAAACTACTGCTGACAAACTTCCAACATTAGATGTTACACAAGATCACAGAGATACCTGCACTCTTCCCACTTGACATGTCAGCCCCTTCCTCCCAAAAATGTATTTTATGAAACTTATGAAGTATTATCTCCCTGAACTTCTCTTATGTTGACATATTTCATATGTTAGCTCAGCTCTGCAGATTCAGTGGGGATAATAACACAAAGGGTTAGAATGAAATCTGTGCTGTGTTTTCTTGGTATTCCACATGGTAGTGCCCATGAATATTGAACATATAATAGATGAGAAAGTGCAGATGAACAAACGTAACTCACCGCTTCAAGCACTCCGTTTGCCTTAGAGAAGAAAATCTCAGAAGGTTTAACGGGTTGGACTTGGCAAGTGGAATCATCAAGTTTCAGTCCATTTTCTTTATATTCATTATCTAAACTAATAGCACCATTTAGGGAATCAATTTTTGGCAGCTCATGCTGGGATCTTTCTTCAGCATTCTGACAGGATGAATGGGAATTATGCAATGTACGGACCACCTTCCCAATCAGAATCCCATTGGAAGAGATGACATTGCAATGCCTTTTGAACAAGCCCTTTGACTCCTCGGGTTTTCCTGAAGGCTCTGCACCGTAAGGGACCATGCTGTCAGAACAGAGCTTGGGGTTTCCATTCACTGCTGGCTCAACAAAGATTTCATCAGGAACCTCCTGCTTGGAGACATTAGTAGCAACTGACACTGTGGAGAGGTTTGAGGTAGGCTCTGCTGCAGAAGAGTTTGTAATTGTGGCTGAAGGAAGGGGCTTCAGATCCTCCTCCTCCACAGCGCTGCTGGGGCACTCGGCCTGCGGCGCCGCCTGCCGCGGGGGCAGCTTGTTGTGAATACTGATGGTGATCTTCTGGGCCTTGGAAGGGTCTGCCATTGACGGCCTGGAAATGGCCCAGTTCTGAACACAAGCTGTTGGTGGAGCTGAAGAAGGCCTTTTCACAGCAACACCAACAGTACTGGGATCCTCTTTCAAGGGTCCATTTCCATTTAAACGACTTGAACTCTGGATTTGAAGAGATTGTAAGATGGAAATGTTTAAACACACAGCACTGGAAGTTTTACAACATTAAATTCTCATGCTAAATTGTACTACAGATTGCCTCAATACCTAAGAAGAAACTTCACCTTCCTCCCAATACACATTCATGTACAACGGGTGTGTGTAAATCCTCCCTTTGGTACCAAATGAGCATCAGTCTGACACCCACCCAAACAACTTAACATTGACTAAAGCTATTAAAAAAATATATATTTTCCTCCCCGACAACACTGGAATATTTCTGCTAGTACTCAGGAACAAGACAATTTGTAGTCTACCACTGTCTCAACTAAACTAACACTGATAGGGACGGGGCAGATATTTACTTTTTAAATTTAAATTACTTAGGCATTAATAGACTACTTTTAAAATTTTAATTGTTTAGGCATTAATAGATGACCTAAATTGTCTCAAGAGCACAGCTCCCAAGCTTTAGAAAGCTGAGCTGGAAGGATAAAGTAACTAAGTGGCATGGCTGCACAGTTAAGGATTAGCCACTGTTTGAGCAACTCTGGCTCTAGCATGAGGGCTGTGAAGAAACCTGCAGTGTGGAAGGGAAAATAAAACTCAAAAAACCCCACCCTACACCAAAAGCTGGTATAACTTGGTGCTGTCATCCCCCTGGAGTTACCTTGATCATGTGAGGAGGCAGCCGTGGGCCCATGAAGGCGGGCTGCTTGCTGCCGGCGCCGCGCTGGCCCAGGAAGGAGCGCGGGTAGGAGGGCGCGGGCAGGTAGAACGCGCGCTCGCCCAGCGTCAGGTCATAGCGCCTGGGGACAGAGGGACACCTCAGCTCACAGCTCTTCCCTCAGCCTGCTCCTGGTTAAACCCATCCCATAATCTCAGCAACAGTGAATATGACACAAAAGACACATCTGGAAGATTTAGGCAGGACTACAAACTGAAGATTAGATAATGGTTTTCCTACAATGACTGTCCTTTCCACAGCAATGGTTCAGCCTCACACCATCTATAGCCACGATTTCTCCTCTTTTCTAAACCACCCAGCTACAGTGAGCAGATGGAAAGCAGTGTACCCATGTGCAGAAGTTTATGGTCAAGCAACGAAAGGTACTAAATGACGCAGGGAATTTCCACTTAGAAAAATACAAATAGTAATACTCTCCCTACAGTGAAAAGAAAAAGCCTTCAAAACAAGAAATGTATTAGCAACTTGACAATAAAAATGTTCTGAGGACATCTGGTGTTATTACCTGATATAGAAAAGTACGTAAGCTTGCTGATTGAGAACTGTTTTGATATCAGAAAGCTCTACTGAGGCATCATTCATTCGGTACCAAAGTCCATTACCAGCCTGCAAACAAAGACAGAATATCTTCAGATGAATTGCACGTGTTCCAAAGGACATCACAGATAGAGCACTGCAGAACAAAGCATACCAAAACAAAGCAAACAAAGCACATGATGCAATGTTTTCCCCTAAAACCAATGGTTACCAATAACATTTTAATTTCTTTGCCAGCACAAATTTTATCCTGTTAGAAGCTGAGCTGATCTCTACCTTTATGAAGCAGAGATAGTGTCCAGCATTACAGTTGAAGCCACTATGTACAAGAACTGCATACAAAGCATAGATGAGGGGTTCTCCAATAGATTGGGACATATATGCTCGAAGATCCAAATATTCAGGGTATTTTACATCCTAAACAAAGACAAAGAAGATTCAAAAGTTATCCTGAAATACTTCATGGAACAGCTTGAAAAAGACACAGATTAGGACTGTATAAATATATTTTTCAATTAACTTGAAAATGCCTGTTCTCATAAACAACATTTAATAACTTAAGCTGCAGGGAGCTGTTTTCCACAGAATTAGCTCTTTAAGGGGAAGGTATCTTCTTATGGTCACATAGGAACTCTATCAGTAATAAAAAAGAAAGAAACAGCCATGGTTGCTAAGTTGTTATATCAACTTCTCTTACACTGTAGTTACTGCCTAAAATGTGAACAACTTTAAAATGAGTATTCATCTTTGAGAAATGCCCACTCCAAGAAGATAAATGAGCACTCCAGCTGCAAACCTACCTTGTTGATCTTTCCACCTGTAAAATTTGCAAATCTTTTCAGTGATATTGTGAGAACATTGGAAGAGCGATGTATCGTGTATCTCTTTGATGCTGGAACCATCTTTTTACACCTTTAAAACAAGCACAGACATATTTTTAACATTATATTCTTTTCTCACTCAGAAGTGAAAAAAGTTTCCATCTCTCACATGTGCTTATGCTATTTGAATGATATTTTGCTTGTAAAATATGTTAGATCTTTTCTTAAATCCATAAATTGCATTTCAGCTTTATTAATAGAGACAACATAGCAGGATATTAGAGACAGTTCCACGGAACAAAGGATTTAGGACATTATCTCTGGATAGCCAAGTAAATGCCTGAACATGTATCTTATGTCAAAAAGGCAAGGCAATAAAAAATGTAAAGAAATCACTGGAAGGAAACAGCCATTCTGCAAGAGGCAGACATTGGACAATATTGAGTTTTCTTGTACTGAGGTTGCCTGGAAAGACTGAAACCCTCTTCAGTCCTTCAAAACAGAATTGTTAATTTCATTTGTTTCACTGCACACTCAAAGGAGGTGCAGACTAAGTCCTGAAATGCAACCATCAGCACAAAGACTGAAACATGTCATTTCACATTGTCAAGAAAAGTACTGCTGCGTAACAAACAGAAAGGATTTGACTGCCTCTTTTAAAACTTGATGTCAAAACACAAGGCACAGAATTCCAAACTAATGGAGAAAGCCAGTGAAGAAAATAAGAGAGCCAGAATAAGGGAAAAAAAAATTGGTTTGTAAAATTCTGAAACTTGTATTTAGAGATGAAGGTTTCAGGCAGTAGTAATCCTTATTAGAAAAAATAATGGTAGAAAACAAAAAGGAAACTGAAAACTAATATAATAGTTTGCCAGCAATGGAAATGACACTGTACATACCCCAAACCCTTCTTTTCAAACTCACAAAAAGACTAAACTTGTGGGTTTGTGTGTGACTGAGTTGTGTTGCCTCCCACCCCACATCCTTGTCCATATCCCTGTGCTCCAGCTCACGTTTCTCAGCCATGCTTTTAACTTCTGGCCATGAGTATTTAGTGTGCAACTTCACACTCAGGGAGGCTGACAAGGCCCAGCACAGACAGTAAGTATTAGGAAGAGAAGTCTAATGTGAGCAATACAATTCTTATAATGTATTTCCAAATATTCAAATAGAAATATAAAAATTACTCATTTAGAAACAAGTGCATTATTTCCCAAGCTTTGAATGATTTAAGTATATTAGTTATGTAAACAAAACTGAATGAAACAGCAAGTAATCTCTGTCTTACTGCTAAACAAAGTCAAGAGATAACTCATCCTCCAAGTCATGCACTGCATTGAATATGTAACTTGTGTCAAGGTGTAATTAATAATCTTACTTGCTACATTTATAGCTGTTTTCACCATCCAGCTGTTCTGGTTTCACAAATTGTTCTAGAGCTCTGGTGACAGATGTAACTGCCTGCATGAGTAGAGAGAAAGTAGAACACTAAGTCACAAGAACTGCAAAATTTCAAACACTTACAAGCACTTTTACAAGAGAATCTTGCTAGTTTATACTCAAGTGGCCTACGGTGAACCAGCAAACACTGTGAAGGAGGAGCCAGAAATGGTGTTCTCTGAGTATTTACCTCATTTCAAAATGATCCCACTTCAAAATAAATAAATTTTGCAGTGCCAGACAGTATCTGTGGTATGCCTTGGCATCAATAATGAGAACAATCAAACCCATCAGTCTAACAATAGATGTATATTGAAGTAGAATAATTGAGAAGTATGATTATATCATTGTTTGTGTAGCCATAATTATTATTTTTCCAGCTTAAATCCAATCCAAACATGGAGAGCATTTCCATGGCTTCCACAGAACAACACAGTCCAATCCATCACCATCCACTCCCAAGCTGTTTTGCTTTAACAAGATAAGTTTCTAAGCAAAATGACTTTATTTTACAAAGCTCTACAAGCATTAACACAACCCAGGCCATGCTCACAGACATCCTTACCTTTATATCCAAAGTAACGTCGAGAAATGGCTCGTACGTGTCCGACACTGCTTTGCAGTTCAAGCACTTTACTGGAACCAAAACACAAATGCTTAACATCACTTCAATGAGACTAACTGCATGAATTTAAATTATTAATACACATTACTTTAGTCAAACTACAAACTCCTTTGCTACAGACAGACAAAAAGACAGATCAGTTCAAAAGACAGTAATTTTTTTTAAAAAGTACCTCGAGATCTGAGATATCCTCCAAATATTTGATAAATAAGTGTGGTGGCTTGAGAAGATCTGTCTAATCTGGAAAGAAATTAGAGTCAGACCTCAGAAGGCTGAAGCACAGAGTTAATTCCTCAAACAATTTTTTGTTTTATGAAAACCAAGGACACAGATTTTAATTCATGATAGTAAATAAAGTAGTAAGAGGGGCTAGGAAATATTGAAATGTAATTATTTTATGCTTACTTGGTGCTTCCATTCAAGCAAGCTTTCTGTAAAGCATCAACGGTGAAGCATAAGAATTCATGTGCATCCTCTTGACTGCCAAAATGGAAATGTTTTCCTATTCCTAATAAATAAGAAGGTTATCATATAATTATTTCTTATAGAATGAAATAAAACACACATTTCTAAAACACCTCTTCTTTAAAGTAGCAAAAATATTTACATGCATCAAATAACTCACTGTAAAATTAAAAAAAAAATTTAAAATAAACCTGTATGAAACTACTTACTTTTAAGGCCATTGATAACAGATGTGGGTTTGATAGCATTATTAGAGCAACACAGGACCTGGTTGATGTGACTTTCCATTGTGCACATCATACAGAATCCTTCTACATGACCTAGGGAAAGAAGAAAGCATCCCATTCTAGTCAAATACACATTGCTAAAAGGAAAACCCTCACGAAAATAATAATAATCTAAGTAGTGGGGGCAATGTCCACTCTCTGTGGCACATTCCCTTCTCCTACGGTGTCAATATCCCAACAGTTTTGTGGCATTTTATTATGGAGAATTGTACAGAATAAAACTCCTTTAAATCATAGACCAGGCTGCTCAGAACCCCATCCACCCTGGCCTGGAATATTCCCACTGGAAGGAGCCCTCCTCATGGCAGAGGATTGGAACTAAATAATTTTGAAGGTTCCTTCCAATAATTCCATGATTCTTAACTCAAATAATTTTTATATATGAGAATAAAACACAATCAAACTTCTAGGAATATATGTTAAGATACCAAACTAGAAAGCATACAGCTGCCTTAGGAAATAGCTCCATATTTATGGATATAAAAAGAAACTCCCCTAGGCTAAATAAAGTCAAGTATAAAATCAAAATTCAAGAACATAAATTCCAGGCTTTAAAATATACAAACTTAATTATTTAGAATAAAATTAGCCTAAATTTCAGTACAGTCTCCCCTAAATTTGTATTTGAGTTCATAAAAGATTAGCTTATAGTGCTTGCTAGAATGTTTGGGTTTTTTAATGGGTCAACACTGAACATGTAATTTATCACAGTATTAGTGCACTGCAGTATCTCAGCTGTGAAGACTAAGAATCTTCAATGCCAACATCCTAAATTTTATCACCTTTCTACCAGCAGGAAACCCAAATGCCAAATGTTCATCAAATGCCTCACTTTACAATGCACTTCATTATTCACATGAAGCAAGAAATGATCTTTTCTTTAAGTTTTACGTGGAACATTAAATTAACAAATTCACTTTATATGCCTCCTATAATTCTGAGCTTCCTGTTAGCAAAATCACAGAACCATTTAGGCTGGAAAAGACCTTGAAGATCTCACTCAAAAACTGCTTCTACAGGCAAAATAGAACAACTAAGAATTTTCTTCATAGAACCCTGTTTTTCTTTCACCTTTGGAGCTGTCCAACAGATTTATAGTGTTAGAAATACTCACATGACTTGGTGTGTTCAAGTGAAAGCATGTAATTGGCAAGAGGAGGCGTGTAGGTCAAACACTGGAGAGTAGAATTCAGGAAACAAGTGTTGCCGAGGTTCTGCAGCCCAACTCCAACACTCTGTGTTTGCTGCCAATCCATACAGATTTTCTCAGGTGGAAAAAGAATTCTTTGTGGCGGAGCAATCCCATCATTAACAACTGCAAGAAATTTGTGTTTTGAAAAGAGTTGTACTGGTTTTGTTTTAAAGAGGGTATTTATTTTATTTTAAAAAGGGTATTTTGTTTTAAAGAGGGTATTTAAAAAGTAGGATTCTGCAGGAGCAGCCTGAAGAACCAGCTCCACTCCAAAACACAGCAACACACGATGCACAGCTTTAACACTGCCACGTGAATTTGCTAGTCAACACTCTCCTTGGGACAATAGTTTATTCATCTGTTTTAATTCTTCTAATAAAAGACACAAACTCCCACTCCGATTTTAGCACCCGATTTCTTTATCTCTATGTCTTTAATCTCTTAATTAAATTATTGTTTTTTTCCTTATCGTAACTTGAACCACAAACTTACACTTGTGGTTACGCAGTAAGAAAAATCAGACAGACAAACAAGTAAGCAGCAAAAAAGTAACCCCATAGATATCAGATCTCTTCCTGGGCAGTGTTATTATTCAAAGACTTGTGAATAATGGAAGCCATGAATAGACATGGTAAAATGTACTTTTCTCTCCAGAACAAAGAGACCTAGGTACATCCATGCATTATGAAAAGCTCCCCTTGTCTGATTTTACATAAATAAGAAATACTTTACAAATCAATTGTAAATAGATAAACCCAAGTTCTGCAACACCTCTCCCTGCAGCTGCCTTAGGGGATGCACAAAATTGAAGTTTGTGGCTGAACTCTTGATTTGCTGTAGTCCCATTTTACAGCAATGCAACAACTAAAATCTGCTTCTACTTTGGTTTTGTTTTCAACAAAAAGGAGGGAGGACAGAAGACACTTACCTAGATCTCTTTGGGCAAAAGGCTTTGATTTTTGAGATGATCTACAATAAATATGCCCCCCAGGACCTTTGTCCACAGAGACTTTGTTTGGATCTTCTGTAGGAGGTACCCGGCCCAAACTTGCAGTGCGAGACGTCATTTTTTTAGTACGGGGTTTCATAGATTTGTCAGAGCGTCTTGAGGAAGATTTTTTAGACTTTGAAGATTTTGGCTTGTTAACTATGGTCATTGTTCATATCTGCAACAAGGCAAAAGTTCTGTTTGGTATAAGAATGTCCAAAGTATTCCAGAAAGGAAAGAGCAAAATAAATCCTGCCCCTTAGCCTCAGAGAACCTGAAGAACTAAACAGCTAAGAATGATTACAAACAAGGGAACAAAACCCCAAAACACACCAAAAACTCCACCCGGTGCACAACTGAATGCACAAAGTAGATTTTTTCCATCCAAATGGCATCAATATTTTTTTTTAACTTCTGCTGAGTTAATGACTGATAGCATTTCTTGGGATTTTAAACCACTATAGTTACCAAGATCTTTTTCTTAAAAGAAGCTGTGAGCAGTGGCACAATCAACTGCTGGCCTGGTGAGATCCAGGAGGAATTGTCTGGCCAACATCTTCCTGCTCCTGGGAACCACACACCCCTGATGACACAGGGCATGGGAAACAGCTCTGAGAAATCTTGGGGAAAAAAAAGCTAGAAAACACTTGCAAATTTATTTCCACCTGGGTTTCTTCTGCTCTTCCAAGAACTATTTGTTTGGATACAATTTTGGCAGTATTCCTTGTGGTATTTTGCACCCATCATTTACAATGCTTACTTATAAACCAAGAAGTTGAATTCAAAAGCATCTTTTTCAGTTCTACTTATGTAAAGTTGTTTTGCCAGGGAAAAACAAAAGAGGAATGTAAACTATAAAAAGAAAATGATGACCGCAACAGAAAGCAAAACAAATCCTAATCCTTAGCCTTCAAGAATAAAGGCAATAACTGATACCAAGTCATTTATAAAATGCTGATTACGTTTCAAGATGGTACCTCTTTAAATACATGTAATGTTGTGTGCATAGTAAGCTGCTGAACAATTACATGATCAATTATCAACTCCTATATGTAAATTTTTACTACTATCGTACTCTATCATGTAAGGCCTGTTCAAGTTTAGGGAAACTATAAACTTAACTGAGGGTTTAAAGTATAACCTGCTTTGTAACACTAAAATAACTGAGAGAACAAAGCATGAAGCAGTTTCAGATTCATGGCACAACTTGATTGCTAATGATGAAACTTCCAGTAGATTAAACAAAGCACAGTAAATCGCAGAACTTCTATTCCCACAAAAGACAAATCATGTGTGGAACCTTTAGTTAGATTTTTTTCCTCTCTAAATTTTCAATTTAAAAGCTACCCTGTACACACTTTCCATTTTAGAGACAATAATACACAAAAAATGGGAAATTCACCTATGTAACTGAAAAATGAGGACATCCTTGTCCATTTCAAAGATTAAGATGACAATTCTTGGGCTTAGTGATTTTCAGGAGAGATCCAGACTCCAAATTGCAGATACTGGTGACATCTACTTTTCCTGATGGAAAGGGAAGGGGTTTCAACAACATAATGAACTTATTTGCAGGACAAAAACCAGAATCAAGACTGCAGTGAAAGGCAAACAGAAGAATATTATCACAAAAAAGCTTTGGCTTTATACTGACCAATGAGGGAAGCGTATTTTTAAATTTATTTTTAATATTAAATTTATTTTTAATATTAAATTTATTTTTGACAACTGAGTAGCACTGATTGGTGCTGCTAATTTAGTTTTGACAACTGATTATCAGATATCAAACGCTAGACACCTGCAAATATCAACGGATGTCAAAAATAACTCAGATCCACCACTTTTTCAAAATCTATCAATATAATTAATTTGGATAGAACATCTTTTGATGAAGTAGCACAAACATTACGCGGATATTTCCCCACTGTTCACTGTAAATACAGGTTCTGCTCCTGTACCACTGCTGAACATAAATTCCCACTGCCATGTGTATTGAGCTCTTTTCCCCTCTGCTATTCCCATAACAGACTTCTCACAGTGTGATACTGACGAGCACAACAGCACAAACAGTTGCTTTCCTCCCATTTGGAGTGATGCATCAGCGTTGTTTAGATTCTTTTTTCGCAGTCTCATCACAACACGCATCAGTTAATACTCGGATCTAAATATTTATGTTTGGTCTCCGCTTTGCGTACAATAAATCACAGCTCAGGAGGGTTTTATACAAGATCCCGTTCACAGAACCGCGTTCAGCCAGGGAGTATGTGCCTTTATCTCAGTACAAACCAAACACTTCCAGCAGCGAGTGTCAAAAAACAAGAGCGGCACACGGCAACAGAGAGGCACAAACAAGGAGCAGGAGGAAACTACTCCGGCAGCAGCCCAGGCAGAGTCACCACGCTACATCACCGACCGCACCGCACACGCCGCCGGCAGCAAAAACAACCCGGGGCAGCGCGGAACACAAACACACGCCCCGCGCTGGTTTTACTTTCGTTACAAAATTAAAGGCAGCAGAGGAGAAAGTGATTAAGGCATTTACCCTGGCAGCGCAGGCGGCGGGGAGCGCTCGGCGCGGGGCAGCTCCGAGCTCCGAGGCCGTTGCGTGTGGCGGGACCGAGCCCGGCGCCGCGAGCGCCCGCGAGCGCCTCGCTCCGGGCGACCCCGAGCCCCGGAGCCCGCTCACAACCGAACCGCCCGCCCCGCCAGCGCCAAGCCCGCAGCACCGACCCGCTTTCCCTCGCTCTGCCCTTCTGCGGGGTCCCGCTTCCCGACAACGTGCTGACACCGGCAGTAAAAGGCCGCTGGCAGGGGCAGGGACGGGCACCGCACGCAACATGTCCGCACTCAGCGCGGCAAGAGCCCAAACACACACAAAACAAAACCCAGCCCGACACGCAGGCGAGGGGGGCCGGGAACCGGCCCTGAAGGAGCTCCCGTCTCGCCCTTGTTCCTCTACACCTTACACCGCCCGGCCCCCAGCCCCGCGGCTCCCCGCCCGGGCCATGCCGCCTCCGCTGCCCGGCCCCGTGCTGACCTGTCCGGGCCCGCGTCCCATCCCGGTCCGGGGGCAGGACCGCGGCGGCGGCGCCCAACGGCGGCTCCGTGCCCATGGCAACGCGGGTGGGGGGGGGTGGCGAAGCGAGCGCGGAGCCCCCCGGGCACGGGGCGGAGGGGCCGCGGGAGCCGCCGCCACCGCGCCGAGCGGGAACAACGCGGGGGCAGGCGGGGCACAGCGCCGCTCCCGCGGCGGGACGCGGGGCCGGGGCGTCCCGGCCGCCCTCCCGCCTGCGCCGGGACGCGGGGAACCCACGCCGAGTCCCCCACGCCGACAGCGGCAGGAGTAGAAGGAAGGAGATGCGGGCGCCGGCGGGACCCCGGCGCGTAACGGAGAGGGCGGGCGGGCGAGGAAGCACCGCCGCGCTGGGAGGGGGCCGGTCCCGCCGGCCCAGGGGGTGGCGGCGGCGGCGGGGCTGGGTCCCTCCGCCGCGTGCTGCGGACGGCGCCCCGCCCCGCCCGGGGGTCCCACCCCCTCCGGCTGCCCGCCAGCCAGGAGGGCAGCGGCCGAGCGCCCGGCCCGCGCCCCGGCGCGGTGGGCTGGGCTGAGCCGGCTGCTCCCGCCGGTCGCTTTCCCTTCCCTTTCCCGGGCCGGCCCCTCCCCCCGGCCCATTGATTTCCAGGCGGGAGGCTCACGCGGTGCCGCCGGGCTGTGCCGGGGCCGCCGCCGGGCCCGGCGCTGCCCCCCAGCCCCATTACCTGGCTCGGCCCCGCTTGACTCGGCGCTGCCGGGTCCCCCTCGCCGCAGCCCCCGCCTCAGCCCGGCCCGCTCCGCCTACTGTTACAGTCCGTCGGGGAACAATGACGTCCCTCCGCCGGCCTCTTGCATCCGGGGCCCGGCGCCGGCCGGGCAGGCGGGCGGGGGGAGGAGAGGAGGCGGCGGCGGCGGCGGGGGGAGCAGCGAGCGCCTCCGGGTCACACGGGGACCGGCACCGCCCCTGTGCCGCGGCCGGGAGCCGCTAGAGGGGGCTCGGCGACCCCCGGTTCGGGCGCGGGGCTCACGCGGGCTGCGGGCGGTGCCGGTCCCCGTGCGGAGGGGAGGGGACGCTCCGCTCCCCGCCGCAGACCTTGGGTACGAGCTCCTGCCCGGTCGTCCCCGCCTCTCGGGCCGAAGGTTCCCCTCTCAGGTCTATCCCTCTATCCATGTTTTATCTCTCCGCGCTCAAAGAGCGGCCATAAACGCTGGCCCGGCCCCCGGAGCCGCCCACGGCGGGCCGGGCGGGCCCCGCCGGCCGCAGCGGATGGGATCCCGGCGCCCGGCATGTGATGAGGGGCGGGAGGGCTGCGGCCATGCGGGCGCCGGTGCCCGCCATCGAGTTCCCTGAGGAGAGCCCGGAGCCGCGCTTTGACGGTAAGCGGGGCCGGCGGCAGCCCTGTGGGTGAGCGGGGAAATCACTCCTTTCCCCCGGCCGGCAGGGAGGGAAGGAGCATGGAACCGTCGCCTTCCTCTTCCCGTCCTTGCCCAGCGCTCTGAGGCGCGGGGGTGATGCAAGAGCGGGCAGGCCCTCAGCAGCGCCCTGCCCTGAGGCCGCCGTGCGAGCTCCCCCTGCCTCGGGCTGGCGCGCCTCGGCCTCCCCAGGTAGCTGCTTTCCGTGCACACTTAAAAACATTAATTATGTTCCTAATTGGCCTCTTAAAGCTACTCGCTCAGTTGGCAGCTCTGGTGCTGCGTCTGTGAGCCGGGGTTGTGATGAAGCTGTGTGGCTGTACATTGTTTTCATGTTTAGGTAAATGGGTGTGTACTGAGGCCAAAGTTCATTCCCCTGACTGTCCTCTTCCAGATTCGGATGTGCCGGCGGAGCTGCGAGTTGCAAACGGGTCGCAAAAATTTGTGAAGTTCACTTCGACCATCCAGAACCAGCTGCTGCTTGTGTCACTGCTGGAGCATCTCTGCCACATGTACACACACAACCCCGTTCACTCCAGGGGTTTGTTCCGAAGTCAGTAAGAGGAGTTCATTCGTGTCTCTCAAACTGCCTCACTGCAGTGTGTACCAGACCCTTCTGTGTAGAGTTACAGTGTAATACCAATACAAGCTGTAGTTTTCATCCCGCTGGGACAAGAATGATTCTGTGAAGAGGATGAATAACTTAAATCAACTAAATTGGCAATGGCACCTTGTCTTATTTTTGAAAACAGTAACAGAATATTGCTGTAGATGTAAGGATCAGACAGTTCTGTTTCAGCTAGATCGTGTGAGTTGCATCATGAGAAGGGTAGCAGGGTAAATTATATTACTGTTATATGTAATCTAAAAATGCTGGTAGAAGAGGAATTTAATAAAATATTTATCAAGAAGTAGTTGCAGTAGAGTCTTCACTAAATATTTCAAAATTATATTCTGTAAAAATCTGAGTAAATACCTTTACAAGTTCTTTATTTTGCCATAAAGTCTCTTGATATCATTCAAGGAATTCACATTTTTTAAAATACCTTCTTGGTATATGACTAATAGCCACTTACCATGGCTATTTTGTTCATTTAGGCATATACTTAGTACATTTAAGAAAGCATATCCAAGGGTTTTGTCCTTACTTTACCTGACTGTAGAAAATAAAATCTAATGTGTTTTTCATAGTTAAACTTATGCCATTTATAGCATCACAGTTGCACCCATCTCCAGCATTTCTGAGGGTTTGTTTGCCAGAGTTGTTTTACTCCATATGAAAAAGATGAAGTGGTGTAAGGGAGTGACTTCGTTCTCTATTATGAGTATGTGCACAAGTTTGGATGGAAATTAGAAAATCTTGACATTACCACTTCTGATTATAAATCCATCCTCATAATTGTGAACCTGCTTTGATTTTTTTCTTTTCACTGATCAAAATCAGTCCAAAAGTAAAATGTAAGTGAAGAAAATGAAAGTGTTTGTTTAACTCATCTGCTGAGGTGAGGAGGCAGAGGAGATGCAGTTGTGACCTTTGAACACAACAAATAATTGTATTTTATGAAGGGATTCCTATTGAGCAGCTCTACTTTGGTTTGAATTAGTTTAAATTGCTAAGGGCACAGGAACAGCCCTAGAGTAGGAGGGATTATTCAGTTTTTCAGTCATGTTATCTTTCAAATAAGATTTCATGTTTAAAAACTTTACATGGCCTTATTGGATGGCTTTATTTAATATTTTTCTGTCTTTTCTCTATTCCTTTGTGCAGTTCTTCGTCAGACTTTCACAAGAACAGGGTTACTCTCCCCTTTTGTCTTTTGTGATGAATTTAGTACTATAAGACTGCAGCACAACAGAGCCATTACTGAATTGATGAAAGCAGCTAATCAACAAGTGCTTAAAGGGGTAAGCTTTGTTACATGGCTTTGGCAACCTCTGCAGTAAGGAGCTTTTGTTTAGGGATTCTTCTCATATTGGATTGGGTCTTTTTAATAATTATACAAAATAACTCCTTAGCTCTTTGGAATGGCATGCTCTGGTTCTGTAGGTGCAAACCAGTTTTTGAAGCCATCAATATTTTGTACCTTGTTAAAGAGTAATAATTTAAAATGTTTATAAA